AGATGGTATGGTGTTCTTTGGTGCGTATGCTTCGCCGTCTTCCCCCCAAACATGATTCAGGGAATTGCGACCGAGCGACTCATTTTTACTCTCATCTGTCCAAAGAATTCTTTCCCAATAAGAATTTTCCTTACCTTTATGCTCTGTCACAAATTTCAACCTGGTATCTCTATGCCGTTTCAGAAAGTGTGGTGTCTTTCTTGGGGAGCGTGACTTTACACCGTCTATGTAGTTCATTACTAATAGTTTGCTTAGTTACGTTAACACCTGACAAGCTTAGATCATTCTGAAGGTCTTGACTGATAGTCATTGGATTGTTTTGGACCTGTCGCATCATCTTTCTTCGTAATCAGGGAGAGATCTTCTTGGGAGCACCGGCTCTGCCTTTATTATCAAGAGGATTACGTCATTTCCATCATGGAATAAATGAACCAATTGTGGAAAAAGGTATGTTTGTGTCACTGGAGATGTTTCTGTAACTTTTTCCATTGTTCCATAGCTTAATAATTAACTCTTTTTGAGCACAAGCCATTTCCTTACGCCTAGCCAATATAAGAACCGTTATCAGTGTACAGTGACTGCAGAATGATCTAATTTTGAACTGAATGTTACTGTGAATATTCTAGAACAGTTTAGAATCTTCTACTTTGAATTACAAGCAAAATCTACCGTATTATAATGCAAAAATTGATACTGTACAAACACTTTCCTACTATTCGAAATATAATAATTTGCATAACTATCACTTATCGATGAATTTCTAATTTTAAATTGCAGATTCTGATTCTATGCCTCAAAATACATGTATAACATTATTATTCGAGGTTTTCATTCGCTATAAGTGAGAATAACAAGCATCTGTTTGCTGTACGATGACTTATTTAACCCCATTGTATATACACCGCTATATCTACAATACCTATTTACCTACCTGCGTCTATTTTTAGAAGTAGGAAAGAAAATAACCGCCCATTTAAGACAGTCTCTATATCACCTTCACTTCAGTTTTCAACACACGAAATAAATAAATCTATGAACACGTAACGTACATTCAATTTACTGATAACTTTAATTACATTTCTATTACGATGGATGCGTTTTCTTACTGTCAATATTAGTAGCAGTAGGCATGTTTTCTTTTTTTTTTTTGCCTATTAGGTGGAGAACTTATATTTTTTTTCACTCAAAGGAAGCACTTTACAAGTTTTCTTTTGTATATCCGTACTGTCATTATATGTATTCTTGGCGTTTTTGTTTAAGAAATATTTTTTTTTTAAATTATCGTTTCTTTCTCGGTTTGACCGCAGGTAACTGAGACAGCAGAAGCAGAAATCACAGACAGCGTAACTACAAAAAAGAGACACTTTACATTTTAAATACTAACTGAATACCCGTCTTATGGACATAGAAAGTAAGTTGTGATAAATCCCCTCTGGTGACTATAAAATCTTTGTTTAACTGTCATTTCCAGTTAGCAATCTATTTTCTCATGTTTATTTTGCCATTTTGACGTTAAGTTTCCTTTAATTTCATTCTCGGTACATAACTACATCGAGCAGACCCCGGAAGAAATAATTCAAAATATTTTTTTAATGTTTGTATAAAGTACACAATTTTAGTGCTGGTATAAAAACGTAAAGTTATAAGATAATTTAATTAGTATCTGTCTATATTTCTAAGATGAGGTATTATGTACACTATTTACATTATTCGGAGTATTGTCCTCATCTCTGTTGCCATAATTATGAAGGACACGTGGCACAGTGGATAAAGGCGTTAGTTAGATCCAGTGACAGGACCCAAAGTGTGTGAGTTCAATACCAGGTTAAGGTGGTGGATAACTTGGAGAGGGGAATTACCAGGAGATAGCTGACATCATTTATACTGGAACTAGAACAGTCTACTCCAGCGAGCGAAATAAAGGTTTCAGTTCGACATTCAATCACCTGAAGAAGGCAGGAGCGTACAACGGCCGAAATGTTGTGGTAAATATGGGAACAAAGATGAGGACAATATTCTGAATAATATAGATAGTTTAATTTAATTAACCGATAATTTTGACGTATTTAAACAATTCCATAAAAAGATATTGGCTATGCTCAATTTGTAGTCGTGTAAAATGATATAAGACGACAGAAAAAAGTTGTAATTAGAAGCCAAGAATACATTTAATTTAGATTTTATTCAAATATAATTACACTGTATTTTATGCAAACTTATATTAAAGAGATATAGATTATTTCCTTACAAATGAAAGTCTTTAATATCGGAAACATTTTTTATATGTGGCAATAACAATTAAAATAAATTTGAAAAATTAAATATTTATTCAAATATGCTTTAAAAATGTTAAGTAAATTAAATGTTACTACTTATGTTATGAATAAATTTTGTTAGGAATGTGTATAAGTGTTTGCTACGGGAAAAGTTGTGCCCGCATTGGAGTAGGTAGGCGCACCTTGACGTGGTGTAATTGTTAGAAAGCTTGTTTTGATAGATCAATTATGACTGAGTAGTGAGTTCGATCCTCACTAGATGCCCCAAACTTTCGCCTATGAGCTACATCTAAGCTGCGCTTAGAAAAATCAATCGTAGAAATTCCTCCTTTCAGGAATTTATAACGTATGGCCTATCATCTCTTTGTTGCGCTCAGGTGCTTTTTTGACAAAGGACTGAGGGGCAACTGGAAAAATTATAGTGACAGGTGGCCAGCCCTAGGGAACAGCAGCCCGAGGCCGCGCCCTCTCATTGCACCAGAGAGAGGGATCGTTGCTGGCACCATTGCCAGAGCAACCGACGGTTGTGGGGGTTGTGGGGAATTTTTGTCCCTTGCCCGGGTGTACGCGCTCGGGTCTCCACTTTAAAAAAGACCTTGTGTCACATCTCGTCCTAGTCGGGGGAACGAGTAAATACCGCGTTTGAGTGGGTAAAAATGACGAAGTGGTTAAAAACCGACCTGAAGCTTTCCCCACCCTATATTCTTCGAAGGGATTGGCAGAGGAGGAGATGTAAGGGGTTACCGTCGGAGTAGATGCTGCGCTTTTAGTATCTGCTCCGTTCCGGAGGCCTTCTCTGCTCCCTTGCGTTCCCCACTGTTGCGTAACTTTTGTTTCGTAGCAATGGTATAACCGGCTCTGACTAGCTTGGACCAGCGACCCGAGTCGAAACACTCGGGTCCTCACGCTAAAAATCCACCTTGTGTTTCGAATATAAGTTGCGAGCTTGGTTCGTACGAACGGACCCAGTCTTGATTTTCTTTTTTAGTCCCCTTTTTGACACAAGGGATCGGGTCCCTGCTGACGCTTTCCCCTTATTAACCTAGGTAATGTGAGTAATAATTGTCGCCGGTCTGATCCCGGCATTCTCTTTTGTCTGCATGCAAGTCAAAATTCATAATCTCCCCAATTTCTTTATTTGTTCTCTATTTTTTTTTATCTTGTCTTTGATATCACTCCACTCCGCTATTTCTTTAGTCTTTACCTTGCCCCTTTAGCTTAACGGCAGAATACTGTGGCCAATCTTACTCTTCTGTGCAGTTGACAGTTCCTACTAATATGTTTTAATTTTTTTTTTAGTTTGAATGGTTTTTTTTTGTATTTTATTTTCGTCGTTGGCTTCATCCCTTCCCAATCATTTTTGGCATATGTTTTTATCAATTTATTTTATCAAAAAAGGACATTTTTATATACAGGGTTATTCAAAAAGAATGATTACATTACGGAATATTTTAATAAGGAAAAATAATAGAAAACTACAACCCAGTCACAAGTATTCTACTCCCAATCAACTTCGAAGTGTTCAAAATGGCTACCACCTGCAGCGCGGGCAATATGAATGCATTAGAGAAGTTCTCCCAAACAGGTATCAGCATATCACGATGTACTGAGATGATCGCTCTTGTTATTCTATGTTTAAGGTCATCGAGTTTAGTGGGTAGCGATGGAACATAAACGTGATCTTTTACGTATACCCACAAGAAAAAATCACATAGGCTGAGGTCTGGGGATCTCTCAGGCCAAGCACAAATCAAGTTGTTGAACGAGGTGTAGTCTGTAAGGTTTCAAATTGTACTCTTCTATTTAGCACACGTTTTATAGTAGATTGAGATATCACAAGCTCACGGCTCGCTCGATTTGTGGATTCCTGTGAACTTCCCTCAAATCAGCATGGATTCTTGCCACTTGTTTTTCCGAAACTCGTTGCAATATTGGACTATTCTCTCTTTAAAGCGTCACCCACTCCTTTGGAACTGTTTAAACTACCGTCGAATGTCCATTAGGAGAGGGCCGATTAATTTCGAATTCCCTTCGAAAAGCACGCTACACCGTGACAACAGTATTTGTTTTCGCGAACTCGAGAATGGGGAAAGCCTTTTGCCCAGGATACATCATTCCGTGGATAGCAAACAACTGAATGTTGCTGGAGATACGACGCGACTACAGCTCCCCTGTGGCAGCCATTCAAAATTTAGAAACATTCTCTATCAAATGATCAGTGACCCATTCAATGACGATTCTTGAGAACTGAAGAAATGCGACAAGAAATAGGTTCATTATTTTTTAATAACTCTGTATTGTGAAATTTTTATGCCATGGGTGTTTTAGTAGGATCGCTGTGATTATGCTGTATTGTGGTATGTGTTGAACTGAACAGTGATAAATGAGTTCTTGTGGTGAATGAGTAAATTGAAATAGAGGAATGGGTCGTAAAACATATTAGCTAAGTGTAGTATAGTCAGTTACGACCAGCCTTCCCACTTTTGACACATGAAATGAATATTTAAAAAAATAGCACTGTAGATGAATTCATTCGCCTATGTTTATTAGGGTTTTACTGTCAAAGGAAAAAAATGTTATATGGAATATCAAAAAATTAAGTGTTATAAAAATCAGAGGTATCCTCAAGAATGAAGAATCAATTTAGATCTGTCATTTAAAAGCGTATCACACCGGAGAATGAATCTGACTGATTAGATGGCGATCAAATATAGACGTTTGAACGATTATTGATTGATTGATTGATTGATTGATTGATTGAGAGAGAGAGAGAGAGAGAGAGAGAGAGAGAGAGAATGTATTGAAATAACAGTGAATAAGTGGTTGAGAGAAATGGAAAAAAGAAAAAGAAATCAAACAGAGGAAGAAGGAAAAGAGGAAAAACAAATAACAAAACAAGAGAAGGGAAGATAAATAAAGGCGATGAAAGAAAGACAAAAAATGTGGCAGAAAGATGGGATTGAAATGGAAAAAGGGAAAGATCGAAAAATGAGAATGCTTCCGGGCTGGAACTAGTGTCATATCCCGTCGCCGCGGGGGTGATATTATCAGAACAACACGGAACAATTGGTTCAGGGCTGTTCTGTCCTAATGACCAGCTAGGTGAGACTCTGTCAAAATTGAACCTTCCCCGAATTTATAGGAAACGAGCTTTCGTTGCGAGATACAATAATGCAACACACGGAAAGTATCTTATATTTTATAGAAAATATCAGTTTTATCCGTTTTCTTAAGATTAGAGAGAGCAGTAATAAATTATTTAGGTGACGGCTTGGGGTCTGTTGTGTAACCCCTGAAATAAACGGTTTGATTAAACCAAAACCTCTAATTGCTTATTTATAACATTCGAATTGATGACTGATGTACCCGTTGAATGTTTAATGTGCGTAGTCACTGGGAATGGCAACCATGATTTAAAGAGGGAGATCTTGTTTTTGTTATTGATTTTTAAAGACTATAACATATGAATATAACAAACATACAAAGATAAATCAATATGTCTGTCCCCGAATGCAGATACAATATACACCATCAGCTAGAGTAGATTAACAGAGACATTACTTTAATACAAAGTCTAAATAATAATAATTAAATTTCCTGATAAGTAAGAGAATGTATGGTTTGTCAGCAATCTACACCGTCCATTATAATACTATAACAGGGACGATATTTTAATGATAATCTATTTTGATAATAATGACTAATCGTGATAATTCGAATTGGCAATTACCATATTATATATTCTATAAATATCAGCAACAAATTCTGACAGTTTTAATATGATAGCAGTGTTATTCCTTTGATCGTAGCTTAATAATACAACTAATAATATTAATTATCAAAATAACAACAGTAATGGCAATAAAGACATTGTAACTATTAAATAGTATATATATATATATATATATATATTGTGTGTGTATTTAGGCAGCAATCATTCTTTCATGCACATTACATTGAATATGACAGACAAGCTGCTTTTATTTATATTTTTATGGAATATCTCATGCGATCTAATAAGTTTATTATTTAACAGTTAAAATATATAATCTTTGAAAATGGCTAAATTTATAGCCGAAAGCCCTCGAATAAAAAGAATATTCAGACAGTTTTTATATAATTTATCATCTGAAAAGAAAGAAATTATTAAATCGCATGAGAAATTGTATAAAAACTAAATAAATGCAACTCGTTTGTCGTATTCAGTGAAATGCATATATATATATATATATATATATATATATATATATATATATATATATATATATATATGTGTGTGTGTGTGTGTGTGTTGTGTGTGTGTGTATTTGTGTGCATTTAGGCTGCCTATCGTCATTTAAGCATGTTTACTTGAATAATTTGGACATATGCTTATTTATTTTTATTTTAATCCTCTCGAATTCTCTGAACGACTTCTTAATGTTGATATTAAATTGATTAAGAAAGCTACCGTAATTTTTTATTTCCTTTGTTTTCATCTTTATTTTCCAAGTACTTCACTCTCAACTGAGATCGTTTTAAGTTATTTGTAATAGAAAATTATTTTAACTTTCTTGTTCAGGTCGACTGGGGTTGTGCATTTCTTTCTGATATTACTAAGAGAAAATTAATCTTGCTTGTAACTGACATGTTAAGCTTTTGCATAAGAAATACTGAACATACAGAGAAAACAATAACATTAATATGTTGTTGATTTTCTCTGTAAGTTCAGTAACGTTATTACTTACTTTAGAAAGAAATAGTCTAACATGGTGGTTGATGAGATAGTTAGGGAGACCATTATTAATTAGTGTCTGTTTTATATTGAGTTCTTCAAGGAAAAGTGGACAAGAAGATGAATTCTCATGTGCTCTCTTTAATAACTTTTTTTTTTATAACTACTATTTTACATCTAGGTAGACAGTCACTCTTAAAATTAAGGTGGCAAGAGTTTCTGCTAGTGTTTTTGTTTATATAATGAAGTGGTTAATGTGTTAATAGTGAATTCTGCGGGAACGTCTAAGAACGGAAGTTTGTTTTTTGACTCAGTTCATAAAGTTACGGACATAATTTTTTTTTCGAATGTAATTTTAAGATTCTCAATTTCTTGTTTGTTTTTCGCTAAAATAAAAGTATTTGTACATAGCGGATATATATTTTGGGTTTAGCGACTTGTTTAATTATCGTGTTTTCTACGTGGGAAATGTAGAAGTTGTAGAAGACGGGAAGAGAAGATTTCCTATACACACACAATTTGTTTGAGTGTAGATATTGCCATTATGGACGTAAAAAGGCATGCAATAATTTTTTGAGGATATTTGATTTGAAGAAGAGAGGTGGAATGGAGATATTTTTTTCTACACGGAGTTAAGGATTACATCGATAGTTTGATCGACAAGGACATTTGCAAATAAGTCGAAGGACCCTATGTTTTGTTGAGTGTGGCTGTTTTATTTAGTTTTACCCAAATTATTACCCGTGTGGTTGGTGTAAGGAAGTCCACAAATTGTCCGTATTCTTCACTAAGCGCTTTCGAGCTTTTCTTTAGCCATTTTCAAAATATGTTTTTAATTATTGTTAATTTCTTTTCCTGTTTGTCGGTTTAATATTTAATTTTATGCTGATTCAATAGGAGTATCTTTTATTCCAAGATTCGAGAGTTGATTGTGGTTGGAATTTTCTATTCGAAAACATTGTTCAACACAACGTCCCCGCCGCTGAATAAGATGAAATGTAAACCGGTGCCAGATGTTTTATGTTAAAAGATCTCTCTCAGTTTTCGGTAACGGGACCTATATTGGATTATTAGTGTCATTGAGCAGAATTGCGATGTTATTAATTGTGGATGGCTCAGTATCATTTTATGTCATATTGGTCAGAAGTGACACGTGTGGCGTGGTGGTATGACCTATATATGTAACTGATTCATGAAAAATCAGTCTTTTACTGGGCATCGAATCTGATACATTATGTTTGTCGTCGCTAGTTTAGATTTCATATGGTTATTTTTATGAGAGAAAACGTAATTTAAAGTTTTCTGTAATATATTATAAGTTTTACATATTTTTTCTGGATTTACGGCAGAAATATAATGTTTAATGATACATTGTATAGTGAATTCGCCACCTTGTAATTATTGCGCATCTGCTTGTATAAAAATATATTGATGTTTTCTTGTATGGTAATTTTATTACTCGTGTCATGTATCTTTTGTAAGAATAATTTCATTTGCTTATAGATTATATAACTTGGATAATTATTGTTATATGTGCTTTAGCTCATACAGAAATATTATCAGTGGTTTTTGTTTTGAAAATATACTTTCTGGTATTTTATCTAATATTTTTCTATACCTCATTCTTTGATAAATCTTTAATAACAGCGAAGAAACCTGTTAGATTTATACATGCTTCATATTTGTTCTTTATAAAGAGTGTTTCTGTAAGTAGGATCTATCATAATATCAAGTTTAAGGTTCTAATGATTTCTTTCTTTTTCTTTCAGATTTGGCGGACATTTGGTCGATATTATTTTTCATCCATAATTGGCATGACTGAAATAACATGATCAAATAGAGAAATAAATAAATTTTCACCACTAACTCTGATTTATTTACTGCTGACTTTGATCCTTCTTCATGAAGCACCCTTATATATAATACGTCTTAATGAGACATATATATATATATATATATATATATATATATATATATATATTTGAGGATACCCTTCTATTAGTGCGGCAACACAATCCCTATTGCTATCTCAGGCGCATTTCTGTTTGTTCCAGAGCCAAACTGTTGTTTATACTACAACTATGCTGATCAGAACTTAGATATACAGTTTCTGGTAGAGAGCGTGATATCTAGCGTGATCAACAATCTGAACAAGCCCTGCACACTCAAACCCTCGGTCACGATGACTTGTGCCTTCGTGCTAGCACAGCTATAGACGACCCCTCAAATTTTCCGTCTACACAATTTTCACTTACAAGGCTTGGGTCAACCCGTGGTATGGTATTTCAGACACTTTCCAAATGTTCTGCACGCTGGGATATCCAGCTTCTACTTCCCTACGCCCGCATATATATATATATATATATATATATATATATATATATATATATATATATATATATATATGTGTGTGTGTGTGTGTGTGTGCGCGTGCGTATGTGTATGTGCACATGAATATCGACCAAATTGAAACTGTACCATAGAAGCCCCACAGCCATAACTGTCCTTAGAAAACGAGCAATTATAATCTAGGTCCGCCAGTCAATTCTTTTCTTCCGAGAAAATTTGGTTCATTTCCGTAGGATATAGACGCTCACAATAAAGTAAGCCAGACAGAAATTATAGAGAATGTCTAAGACAAATACTTACATACAGTAGTAAATAAGATGATAAAGAAATGACGGATTTCGGACCATAATTACTTTCGTATTCAGATCAATCTTCAATCGAGGAAAATATTGATCGTCAACCTCCATATATATATATATATATATATATATATATATATATATATATATATATAATAAAGTTAACCACTGGCGTCTAGAAAATAATTGTCGGGGTTTAACCCTGTCTGGTAAAGTTACATATAAGTCATTCACTTCTTCTATATCAAGTCTTTTCAGAATCTGTGCTGTCATGGTTTCTCTCTCTTACAACCTCCTTGCGGTTTTCGATCCGTTTCCGCCCGTTACCTACTATCACGGGTCTGCAATTCGATTGTATTCTCCGGGGAACATTCGGTTGTTTCCGTATAATATATACTCTCACAGTGAAATAAGTAAGACACACGTGAGATATAATGCTTAAACAAATACTGACGGGTATTAGTCATATAGATGAAAAAGAAATGGTAGATTAAAGGCCATAATTATTTTCGTATTTACGGTGGGGCGATAAATTCATAGGCTAACTATGAGGGAATGATGCTAGAGCTGTGAAACATTAAATGCATTAATTTTAGCTCGTCTTATTATTTACACTATATATATTATACGGACTGTTCTCATTTTTATTATGATTATGACATTTCTGTCTTTGTACACTCCGTTCTTATTCAGATTAATTACGTTAGAAATTCAAACCGA